TTGATCAAGCTTTTTTCTGTAGCTGTAGCAGAAAAATTGCTCGTCGATAAATGAAATGTTGAGAAAACCTACATTGGAAGTAGGAAAGATTTCCCTCCTGAGCTTCTTACACTAAACAGCGTGATGGAGGGGGAGCGCTGGACTGAGGAGGCCACTTCTCAGCTCTTACAGAGAGAGATGTCCAGCATTTCTAAACATAAAGAGCTCAAACAGCTGTGGAAACGGAATCACGGCTCTGATAGAAAAATAATAATAACGATAAAAAATAAAATAAACGGGATGTTATTATCAATAGGTTACTAATACAAGTTGCAGCATACATGAAGTTAGAGGTAGAAACATCAAACATTATATCAAATTATATTATAATTATATAATATATATTATATATTGATAAACCAAAACTTATTCAACTATAGCTGTTTACAGGAAATGATGTCACAAAAATCAGTTTAATGGAAACAAGCAAAGCAAGATTTTTTTTGGGGGGGGGTTAATTTTATAATTTTATAATTTTAATTTTATCGCTTGTGCAGAACGTCAACAGAAACATACAGTCCTGTGCAAAAGTTTTGGCACCCCTGGTTAAATTCATGTTGATTTTATAAGTGAACATAACTTTGTATCACACTAGTAAAACATAAAATGTGGCCTGTGCAAAAGTTATAACAAGCTATTTTGTGTTTATGCATTTTTTCCAATGTTACACTTGATAAATATATAGAAACTGTGCACTAAAATTGTGCATAGATATCCTGACCAATGTCACCTATCACTGAGTTCTCTGTAGAGGATGTGTTAACTTATTAGGTTAATCAACTAATCGTAATTTGACTGGTTCATACTCTTGTGCACGATTGCAGCTAACGATGCTAATCATTAGCATGCTGATGCTAGAACAAGAAGCTACATCAACATATCGTTGTTTGAACAAAACCTCATATCTGCAAAATGGTAGCTTTGCAGGAGAAGGAAGTTGAGCTCTGTATACAAAGTTCTAGACTTTTTCAATACTGCAGTTCAGCAAACTAATCAATACTCAGACTTTTAACTACTTTCAATACTTTTAATACTTTCAGTTCTTTATTTTAATGAGCTAGCACTCAGTGTACATTGGATTTACCTGCATTTGAAGGCCTTTGTAGTATCTTGTCAAGTGAAAAGATCTTATATCTAGTCAATATTTCTAATATTCCCCATATTGAGATGGTTGTGGACTTACTGTAAGATTATCTAGCTCATTTCTAGACATTATTTATTTGTTTTAGGTATTTTTTAAGTAAATCTATCTCTCTATACTGACAGATACTTTTGCTGGTTTCAGTCTAATTTCTTACAACAACAAGCAAAATGATCTGCCGATGTAGTGAGATAATGTTACTTAATAAAATTACTTAAAGCAAGTAAAAATATCTAGGAATAAGGCAAATAATCTTAAATTAAGCTTACAACAATCTCAACAGGAGAAATATTAGATTTATTGATTATATTTAAGATAATTTTACTTGCAGTGTAAAAAAGACTGAATAAAAAATGAAGCTGTAAAAATTTGAACTCCTTTCTGTTTTTAAACTAATAAACAGTTAATGTTCAGACGACGATGAGTGTTTTAACTCTGTGCCATAGTATCGTATCGTGATACTACACAAAATGTTAGTATCGTGACAACCCTGATGTGTATATTAATAGCAGCCAAATGTGAATATAAGTAACCGTTACCTGAATATTGGCTTGAGGGCTGATACACTGGCTTTTTACATTAATACTGCAATAACAAAAACCATTCAACTAGGGTTATCTTCTGAGGCTGCTTGCTAATAGTACTGACGAGGCTAATAGATTTAGCTACGTGCAGAATGGTTTTATATGACGTGGATGAATTGAATTAATCAAATAATTCAATAATCAATAATTCAATTGACATTAGAATTATTTGCACCCAGTGTAATCTTGGTGAGATTTGTGCTCCAGGTCACGCGTCACATCTGTGAGTTCCTCTTATGTAAATGTTCTAGAAGTGATCACCAGCAGGTTTTGCTTCCTGAGTCTTTATTTGCTCTTCAGGACAAACTCCTTCCACCGTGTCAACTTTAAATGGGATTTAATGCCAATGATTGTTCAAAGCTTTCACATAATTAAACAGTTAAGATGTAAACAGACTCGTTCAGAGTGGTTTGGTGTGAAACGCTTCTTACCAAAACTTACTGAGTCAGAACTGTTCACAGTGGTGGTGATAGGAACCAGACGTCCACCTCTAAAAGCTCCCTCACAGAAAGTTACTACATGAAGTGGTTATGAATTCACTGCCTGATGTCTGAGACATTGAGTGTGTTTACATGCACTCTGTAATCTGATCATAATCAGATTTCTGCAGTTATGGTCATGTAAATAGCACATTCTGATTACTCAGATCAGAGTAAGGTCTAGAAATCTGATCAAGAAATCTGATAAAGAGGCTGGATTTTGGCTGAGTAATCAGATTTCTCAGTGCATGTGAACTCTTACTCTGATTTCTTTCGGATTTCTCAGTCAGCATGTGTGAAAACAAACGGTGGTACCGGAAAATAAGCGAGCAGCGTCACTGCGAGACGCAGCAAAACACTTTTGGAGCAACAATGAAACCGACTACATGCTTGACGAAATGAAGGATTTAAATATTCTTCATCTTCTAGATGATGTTTGTTCATATTTTCAGGTAAAGTGGCTCGATGTTTATAAAAAGAAGCCGCAGCATGAAGTTTTACGTTATGTTTACGTCACGTCTTCTTCTGTGAATTTATTGGCCGGTTGCAAAGCAGAAATCTGATTACTGTCTGAGTCATGTAGACCTGGAGTTTTCACATTATCTGATTACCCATGTGCACGTAAACGCGCTGATTGGTTTACTGACACAATCTGATTTTCTGCAGTTATCGGATTATTAAGTGCATGTAAACACACTCAGTGTTTTATGATAGTTTTGAGAAGATTTTGGCCATAAACTCCATTCATGGTGGAGGGATACATGCAGGGTGCAAAATAGTCCCCAAATAAAACTTATTATTTCAGATTTTCCACTATTTTCCATCATCAACATTCATATAAACTCAGAAGACTCGTGTAGGTTCACTGGTGGTTCTGGATAGTAAATAAAATGTCTGTATTTGTGTTGTAGTCATGGCGACCCCTGGTTCCTGTCACCACCACTGCAAAGACATCTGAACCATTTCACACCAAACCACTCTGAATCACTCTGTTTACGTCTCACACACTGAATTATGGAGAAAATGCATCCCCCACCCCGTCCCCCTTAAACCAAATGTGGTCAATCAGCCAAGACATGTTTGGTTCACTATTACTATAAAGTGGCATCAAGTCAATTCTGATTCCTGGCAACAATATGGATGGTGTTTCTCCAGAAGGTCCTGTCTTCCGTTTGGGCCTTTAAGCTTCTTAATGCCTTATTCATGATTCTCTGAGCGTCTCCATCCATCTTGTTGCTGTCCATTCTCTTCCTCTGTCCCTAGTTTAATAGTCTTTTCTCATAAACTGGTTCTTCTCCTATGTCCAGAATAAGAGCTTCAGTTTGGTGATCTGGCCTGGTTTGGTCAAAGATCCATTTGTTTGTTTTCCTTGCCATTGAAGATTCTCTCAAAAGTCTTCCCCAGCACCAAAGTTCAAAGGCATCCATTTTATTTCTGTCCCACTTTTTCATCCATAAACCACAGAGAAGACCATGGCCTGGACAATGCTGATCTTTGAGATACATGATTACACTGAAGCTCTTTTCAAGTTCCTTCATCCTTGTTCTGCCGAGTGACAGTGTGTCGTATTTCTGGACTGCTGGATCTTTTGTTGTTAATAATTGATCCAAGAAGGCAAAGCTGTCCACCACTTCCACATCTTCTACATCGTTTTCTGTTGTCAAAATCTTTATTTTATTCATATTGATAGTTATATTAATAACTTTCTTTATAAGGGCCTTCAGATCCTACCGACTTTCTGCTATGAGTGTCTTGTCATATGCAAATCAAAGGTTTTTGATCTTTCTTCCACCAATCCTGAATCCTTGATCGTCTTCCTCCAGCCCAGCTTATCTTAGAATATCTTCAGCATAGAGGTTGAACAGGTATGGTGACGCTGGGCAGCCTTGTCGAGGTCCTTTGCTGGGGTGGAACCAGTCTGTCTGTCCATTTCTGGTCATGACTGTGGCTTGTTGATCAGTGGTCAACCCTCACAGAGCAGGTACTGGGTGGTGGATCATTCTCAGCACTGCAGTAACACTGACGTGGTGGTGGTGGTGTGTTAGTGTGTGTTGCGCTGGTACGAGTGGATCAGACACAGCAGTGCTGCTGGAGTTTTTAAACACCTCAGTGTCGCTGCTGGACTGAGAATAGTCCACTAACCAAAAATATCCAGCCAACAGCGTCCTGTGGGCAGCGTCCTGTGACCACTGATGAAGGACTAGAGGATGACCAACACAAACTGTGCAGCAGCAGATGAGCTATCGTCTCTGACTTCACATCTACAAGGTGGACCGACAAGCTAGGAGTGTCTAATAGAGTGGACAGTGAGTGGACACAGTGTTTAAACACTCCAGCAGCACTGCTGTGTCTGATCCACTCATACCAGCACAACACACACTAACACACCACCACCACGTCAGTGTTACTGCAGTGCTGAGAATGATCCACCACCCAAATAGTACCTGCTCTGTGAGGGTCCATGGGGGTCCTGACCACTGAAGAACAGGGTAAAAGGGGGCTAACAAAGTATCAGAGAAACAGATGGACTACAGTCTGTAACTGTGGAACTACAAAGTGCACCTATGTAGTAAGTGGAGCTGATAAAATGGACAATGAGCACAGAAACAAGGAGGTGGTCATAATGTTATGCCTGACCGGTGCCTATTTTCTAGTATATCTCCTGTTATATTAATGTCAAACAGTGTCAGAAACCACATAAAAGGCTAATTGAAGCTTCTACTGATGGTTCTAAATGCCATTTTGTTTGTGTTGCAGAGGGTTTCTGTCTGCCTGAGTGGGATGGAATCGTTTGTTGGCCTGAAGGTGCTCCTGGAAGAACCGTCTCCACTGCTTGCCCTGAATACATCTATGACTTTAACCATAAAGGTGAACGCCTTTCTGTCCCTGCAAACTGCTGCTGGCCTGAGTTTATGTAAAAGAGAAGAAGAGCTGGATCTGTAAACCACCCCTGAAAGTGTCTCTCGAGGAGATCCTGATGGGGGTTTTATGTTAAAGAAGCTTTTAGGGCTTACTGGCCCCTCAGGGTTGTTTCTGTCTGACAGATTTAACAGTGATAGCAAGAACACTGCAGTATTTTATGAAGTGTTGTTTAAGAAGCAACTGGGAAGTAGTTTTGATCCCTAACCATTAAGATTTGATTGGCCTGTCCATGCTCTGCCCGCAAAAGTTCTTTCATAGCTTCTGCTGAGCTTTACAGAACAAAAAAATACCATTCAGCCTACTAAAAAACTGGAGAACAGACTCGGTTTATATCACAATACCTACATTTAGAGTCAGTTATTCACTCAGCCTAATGAGAAACTGTAGAACAGACTCAGTTTATATCACAATACCTACATTTAGAGTCAGTTATTCATTCAGCCTAATGAGAAACTGTAGAACAGACTCAGTTTATATCACAATACCTACATTTAGAGTCAGTTATTCATTCAGCCTAATGAGAAACTGTAGAACAGACTCAGTTTATATCACAATACCTACATTTAGAGTCAGTTATTCATTCAGCCTAATGAAAACTGTAGAACAGACTCGGTTTATATCACAATACCTACATTTAGAGTCAGTTATTCACTCAGCCTAATGAGAAACTGTAGAACAGACTCAGTTTATATCACAATACCTACATTTAGAGTCAGTTATTCATTTAACCTAATGTGAAATGAGAATGGCAGTTTTTCCAGTTATACAATATACGGTACCTATAAGTAGATGGGATGAATGAGTAACTGACTCTAAATAGGACAGGAGAGGACAGTTCCTTTTACAGTAGAACTAAGAAATACCTTTCCTGGTTCTTTTCAGTCTGAAAAATGTTATAAATATAATTCACCTTGAAGGTTCTAATACTCCTAACACTGCTTGACTCGAGGATGGGTTGACTGCTGTCCCTCTGAGATTAGAAAGCCTGCCCATTGATGGATCTGTGTAACCTATATGGCTTAAACAGGGTTTCCCTACAGGGCTAAGCTAACTATATTCTAAGTCCCTCAACTCTAACCTCAGAATAGATCTTGCTGGAGCTCTTTTTCCTTTGGGGGAATGTGATAAGTATAAAAGGCCGTCTCTGAAGGTGTGTTAGTGGCGCACTGTCATAACAAACCATTATAATCCTCTCTGCCGTGCGCTCTCAGGAGGAGTGTAATTTTACCTTGTGGGTTTAGTTTGAATAAATGTGCCACCTCCGTCTAGCTCTCGCGTCTGTCCACCGCACCAAAGGCAAACGAGAGCCGTCAGCACGGCCCTCACATTCCTTAGATGCTTCGCATTCTGCTTTTACTTTTGGGGGAAAAAGGAAATGAAAGCATTAATCTGTATGGCTTTAGCTTTGTGCTGCACCTCTGAGGAGAATAGCTGAAATCTGTCCATCTGAAACAATAGTTTGGCTAAAAAATGCAGTTTCCACACCGCATTTCCCAAAAGTAGTCGATCAGCCGGGACATGCTTGGTGTCTGAAGTTTGCATATATATATATATATATATATATATATATATATATATATACACACACACACACACATATATATCGTATTTCGTATTTTGTTCTCTGAAAAAGAATATATTGTTATTATTGCATGTTATTACACATTAGATATTATTATTATACATGTATAACATTTGCATAGTTTTAAGTGCTATAATTAATTGTACATAGACATTTTCCTCCCTCTCTTTACTCTTTTTAAACGAAGGTCTTTATTATTGAGGGAAAAAGAAATCCAAACCTACAGGGCCCTGTGTGAAAAAGTGATTGCCCCCCCATTAAAACATAAATTAACTGTGGTTTATCACATCTTTGGAAAGCTGAGTTCAACTTCCCTAACAACACCCAGGCCTGATTACTGCCACACCTGTTCTCAATTAAGAAATCACTTACATAGGACCTCCCTGACAAAGTGAAGTAGACCAAAAGATCCTCAAAAGTGAGACATCATGCTACGATCCAGAGAAATTCAGGAACAAATGAGAAACAAAGTAATTGAGATCTATCGGTCTGGTAAGGTTATAAAGCCATTTCTAAAGCTTTGGGACTCCAGCAAACCACAGTGAGAGCCATTATCCACAAATGGTGAAGACATGGAACAGTGGTGAACCTTCCCAGGAGTGGCCGGCCGACCAAAACTACCCCAAGAGCACAGGACGACTCATCCAAGAGGTCACAAAAACCCACAACAACATCCAAAGAACTGCAGGCCTCACTTGCCTCAGTTAAGGTCAGTGTTCATGACTTCACCATAAGAAAGAGACTGGGCAAAAATGACCTGCATGGCAGAGTTCCAAAACGAAAACCACTGCTGAGCAAAAAGAACATAAAGGCTCGTCTCAGTTTTGCGAGAAAACATCTTGATGATCCCCAAGACTTTTGGGAGAATACTCTGTGGACTGACGAGACAAAAGTTGAACTTTTTGGAAGGTGTATGTACCGTTACATCTGGCATAGAAGTAACACAGCATTTCAGAAAAGGAACATCATACCAACAGTAAAATATGGTGGTGGTAGTGTGATGGTCTGGGGCTGTTTTGCTGCTTCAGGACCTGGAAGACTTGCTGTGGTAAATGGAACCATGAATTCTGCTGTCTACCAAAAAATCCTGAAGGAGAATGTCCGGCCATCTGTTCGTGACCTCAAGCTGAAGCACAATTGGGTTCTGCAGCAGGACTATAATCCAAAACACACCAGCAAGTCCACCTCTGAATGGCTTAAGAAAAACAAAATTAAGACTTTGGAGCGGCCTCGTCAAAGTCCTGACCTGAATCCGATTGAAATGCTGTGGCATGACCTTAAAAAGGCGGTTCATGCTCGGAAACCCTCCAGTGTGCCTGAATTACAACAATTCTGCAAAGATGAGTGGCCAAAATTCCTCCACAGCGCTGTAAAAGACTCATTGCCAGTTATCGCAAACGCTTGATTGCAGTTGTTGCTGCTAAGGGTGGCCCAACCAGTTATCAGGTTTAGGGGGCAATCACTTTTTCACACAGGGCCCTGTGGATTTCTTTTTCCCTTAATAATAAAGATCTTCATTTATAAACTGCATTTTGTGTTTACTTGTGTTATCTTTGTCTAATATTTCAATTTGTTTGGTGATCTGAAAAGTGTGGCAAATATGCAAAAGAATAAGAAATCAGGAAGGGGGCAAACACTTTTTCACACCACTATATATATATATATATATATATATATATATATATATATATATATATAACTGCTGTTGGACCAAAACAGGAGAAGGAAAAAACATACTTTACTTTTAATGTAAGCAAATGGAACCAGACCTTTTGTCCAAGTAATTTTGGGTCATTTCTTTTGGTCCAGTGGTAATGAAATTTTCACATAATGTATTAAACATGACCATTTCACCAGTACAAATAAGGCTAATCTGCTGAAGGCTGCAGTGGTATGTAATTTGTTTGTGACATCACAACCATGATCAGTTGAAAACAAGCTGTTTTGGCAGGTTAGTTTCCATTTATGGACTGTACAGTGTTTACATAGCGCTCCCTTCAAATGAAACCACTTTTGGTTCCCTTTTACTGGGTGGTTCCGTAAAGAACCCCTTTTGTAAATCAGATGAGAAAATCGTTCTTTAAAGAATCGTTTGATAAAAGCTCGTTTAGGAATCCTAAAGAGGTTCTTCTACAGCACCGCAAACTCTTTTACTACCTGAGAGCAAAGACAGTTCAGTGTTCAGCGCTGAGGGCCTTTAAAGTGCACGGCGAGGTGAGGGATTTCCCACTGAAAGGCTGTGCTAAGTGAACCGAGTCCAGACGGTGACGGGTTTTATCTCCCAGAGTGCCCCGCTCCCAGCGAGCGCGCCTCACCTCCATTAGAAGCCCATTAAAACGCTGTTAGAGGGGTGTTAGATAATGACATTGTTCTGCTGAGGGGCCTCACTGCAGCCCAGCCCAGCAAAGATCCCCTTTTGACCTCAATCTGGGTCACAATCGACACTTTTTACCCCACAGCGGTGGCAGCTGGACCACTTTCATGTGTTCACCCGTGACTTCGCTTGAATTCCGAGTGCTGTACAGGGTGGTGTGTGAAAGTTTGTGCACCCCTGGTCAGATTTGATCTTGTTGATGATTTTCTGAGTGTAAATTAGTGAACTTGTCCTCTACAGAGACACACTACTGCACAATTTAATACACAACTACCGTTTATTTACTGAGTTTAACATATTAGGGAAAAAAAACAGAATGTGGCCTTTTTATATTCTGCACTTTTTATGTGCACTTTTTATATTTCATTTATTGTTTTATTTTAAAGATGTTGAACCCAGCAAATTAATAGAAAGTGTTCACTAAAATCTGCACATATTAAAGTGTGTCTCTGTAGAGGATGTGTTGGCTTTTTTTTAATGTTTATTTTTTAAAGCAGAAAAAAATGAAACAGGATTAGACTTAGAAAACTATTATCACATATAGATACTTACATATATTACATATGTGACTTAAAGTAAAAGAGATCCATTCATCATGAAATTTTAACATAGCTTAAAAGCAACTGGTGTTTTCAAATATATATATATGTATATGCAAAACAATGTTTTTTTAAAAGGTTCTGTTCTGACAGTGATGAGATACATCATCCATAAAGATGATATGTAAAACTCAATGCCCTGAGATGGTATGAAAACTGTTGTTTGTGGTTGTGTTGTCTCTTTAGGTCATGCCTACAGGAGGTGTGACCTGAATGGAAGTTGGGAACTGGCCACGAGTAACAACAAAACCTGGGCCAACTACAGCGAGTGTGCAAAGTTCCTCAGCCACTACAACCAGAGCCAGGAGAGGGTATGCAGTACACCCCCCACCACACACACACACAGCTTATACACAGTATAGTGCAAAAGTCAGAGACCACCCTTCATTTATTTACTTCCCAGTCAAAACTGCTGTTATGTGCAAGCATTTTTCATTATTTAGTAATTAGATATTTTTTCAGATTTAAGATAATCCACATGCACAAGTCAAAGGACAATAAGTGAAAAACCAGCAGTTTCCAAAACTGATTAAAAGCTCCAGAGACAAGGTTCCTCCTAACAACCACCTGGAAGACCCTGGTAGACCCCAATACTGCCCCCATCAGATAAACACTTAAAGCTTTCATCTCTGAGAGAGAGGAGAAAATCAAGCTGCTTCAGATCTGAAAACATCCACAGGTGTTTCTGTCCATCCTTCCACTGTGAGAAGACGACTCAGCGCTGTGGGTCTGAAAGGATGTGTAGCTGATCAAGAAGAACCTCACTGAGAAAAGGAGACGGACACATCAAACAAAGAAGCTGAACGATGGACTGACCACCCCAGAGTCCAGACCTCAACACCACTGAATGTGTTTGATTACTTCAGAAAATGATCAACCAGCTTCTAAGACTGAACTTTGGAGGTGTGTCTGCAGATTCTTTGAGGAACTGAAAGTGAGTCTCCTGAAGAGAATGGAGGCTGGAATAAAGGTAAAGAGAGACACACTGAACACTCAAACAGCTGAGAGTAGATTTAGCTGCTGAGGATTCTGGGTAATTTTCTGTTAAGTATGTGTTCTTTTTTGCTGATGCTAAAAAATGAATAGCTTGCATTTAACATCTGTTTTGACTGGAAATGAATGAAATGAAGGGTGGTCTCATTTGTACAGTACTGTATATGCTTTCACATTTTCCTGACCTTCAGCTTTGGTCACTCATTTTCAGTTTCTGAACTGTGTATAAAAATGTACCTTCCTGCAAGTTTTTCTCCAGCAAAAAAAGAAAATTTCACTGTAAGGAAACAAAAGTGCTTTCTTGAACAGCCTGCTACTAAAATCATACAAAATACTCGTTTTTACATCATTTTTAATGCATGAAAGCTTAAAATTCAGCTGTAAGAACAGCAGAAGCTGATACATCATCTTTCAGCTCTCCTTGAGTGTCCTCGTAATTGTTCTCGGTCTTCTGAAGGTCAATGGCCGTGTCAGTGTAACCAGACTTGTGTTCACACTTAACCCCTTCCTGTTTAATGACCGTTAAACTCCGGCGTGAAAGTGTGCGTGTAAGGGTGTTGAGAGTGGGGAGGCAGTCGGGAGGGCAGTGATATGTGGGCCTGGCTCGGTGTAATTCTCTGATGTAGATCCACAGGCGTGTGGGATGTGAAGATAAACGTCTCCGTTGCCTCCGGACCCCTTTCGTTTGTTTGACTTTGTTTAGGTTTGGCTCTTTGTGTGAAGTTAATTTTGGTGTGGATTCGTGAACTAAACAGAAAAAAAAACAGGACTTTTGTAGCGTTTGGATGAGGAATGTGTACAAACCGTCCCTCCCTCGAGTTCCCTCTCAACAACAACCACAAAAAAGAAAAAAAAAGAGGGAAAGTACCCAAGATATTTTCCAGAGAATCTGATTTTCAAAGAGACCACGTTTGGCCTCGCTTTGGACTTGTTTTTGCAAAATAATCAACCATAAACCGCCCCTCAGGATTCCTTCTCTGCAGTATATAATTTGATAGCATAACGATTTGGAATGATTCTGTAAACAGATTATTCAGTACGGAGTGGCGAAGTGGTGAAATGGTGAACGGCTCTGTTGGAATGGCTCGTTTTGATTGATGTGTCTGAGTGATTTTCAGCTGTCAGAAGTTTTTTATTATATGCAACAAAACACAAATTGTTTTAATTCTTAAGGACTGAATGTCTTAAAAGTCAAGTCACACGACAGCAGTGAGCTTTAAATGAGCTTTTCCCATCAATGCATGGCAGAAAACCAGAAGATCCAGCAGATCCAGAAGATCTTATCATGGCTTATTCCTTTATTTGTCCATTTCTGTTGGACATTCTTAAGTGTTGCTGTGGACTATCGCTTTAACGGGGAACCTTCCAGCTCTCCGAGGCCAGATTTCTCCACAAGGTCCACCACTCAGTATCTGCAGAGCTGAAAGGTCTAAATGTGGTCACTTAAATTCAGTATGGTCTCCAGCTCAGACTGTAACGAAGTTGGTGGGTTTGCCGTTTGCCTCCAGCAGCAACTCGGTGGGCCATGGGTTCTTATTTTGCCCGCCGTGTTTGCTTGTGATGTTCTCCCAGGAGCCGTTTCTGCACTTAATGAAAAATTCATCTGCGTAAATTAAACGTGTTAGGGTGCCACGGCCACATTAGCCGGGTTTGGATCGAAGCCCACATGCTAAACGCTAACAGCCGGCTTGGGTTAAAGGAAGCCTCTTTAAAGCACAGATTTGAAGCCAATCTGTTTGTATTGTACTGTCAGTTTCCACAAACTGTCGACTCGACTCATTTTCCTAAATTTAGAACAGGACAGAAAACCTGCTGAATCAAAATTCACTTATTTTGGAAACTATTGTGCAGCTGCTTTGAGTAAACATGGACATTTTTACTGAGAAGTCAGGACCCAAACCTGTGTTCTTCTAACCAACATGTTAATAACTTTCTTTTAAAAAAAAATGAGTGCAATCCTGTTATGATTTACTGTATTTCACTGCAGTCAGAAGAAAACTTTGTCTCTCCAAAATCCTAATTTTACAGGAAAAGGAAAAAACATACTTCACTTTTAATGTAAGTCAATGGAACCAGACGTTTTTCCTTTTACCTTTGGGTTGTTTCTTTTGGTCCATTCATTATGACATTTACGCACAATGTAAAGGGCAACAGACATTTTCAAATTTTGTCAAAAACTAAAAAACGACAAAAGATGGAGATTTAAGGTTTTGTTCTGACAGCAGTGATTTATGTTTAGTTGAATTATTCGTTATGTTAAACTGCAAAAATGATGCCTTGGCAAGTGAAATTATTATAAATCTAGTCGACATATCCAATGTTTCTCATTTTGAGATGACTGTAGGCCTAATCTAAGATTTTTCATCTTATATCTAGATGATTTTTACTTATTTTAAGTAATTTTATTAAGTAAAATAATCTCATTATATTGGTGGATAATTTTACTTATTCTAAGAACTGTGCTTGAAACGAGACAAATTACCTGCCAATACAGTGAGATCATTTAATAAAATGACTTAAAACAGGTAAAATCATCTAAAAATAAGTTAAATAATCTTTTAATATTCTTACAATCATCTCACAATGAGAAATATTAGACATTCATACTACATTGAAGGTAATTTCACTTGTTCAGATATCATGTTTTGCAGTGTATGTAGTTATTTTACTTTTTAAATGTTGGTCTGTCTGCTTCATCATTCTGATTTGCTTCAGTAAGCAAGACTGACGTGAGATGAAAGAAGTGCAGACCTGGTGTATTAGATCAAACCAGACCTTCTCTTTGTGGAATGATCTCCATAGAAGATGCAAACATCTTTAAAACATTGTTGACTGCAGAGTTTCTTCTGAAATGAAGGTGTTAGTATTGAGCTTGTGCTGCAGTAACAGCCTCTACTCTTCTGGAAGGCTTCTAGATGTTGGAACATTGCTGTGAGGATTTGATTGAGCATTAGTGAGGTCTGATACTGATGTTGGGTGGTCAGTTCTGGATCTCCAACTCATTCCAAAGGTATTGGATGGAGCTCCAATCCAATCAATCCAGAGAACGCAGTTCCACTGCTCCACCGCCTGATGCTGGGGGGCTTTATACCCCTCTAGCCTACACTTGGCATTGGGCATGGTGACCTCATGCTCATGTGCAGCTTCTCCAGAGCATCCCTTTCTATTGGTCACCCAGATTATCCAAGCTGTATCAGCATTGGGTGACCTTAAAGTGGCCGAATGGACTCTTTCTAAGTGCTGTCCGGATATTTTTGGACCCTCTTCTGAAAGTTTTTCTGATGTAGTTCTTCTCAGTGCCCTCTGCTCCAGCTCATTTGGTTTGTTTCTCTGAACGGCCCGTGGCAGTAATCTGAGCCGAAAGTGTCTCTCAGTCTCCAGCTCTTAAACCCCAACTGTTTTCACACCGTCCTAACGGCCTCGGCTCCGGGGTGTCGTCTGTCTGTCCAAACAAACGGCCGCTCCGGCCGGAAACGCCGCCGAGGGCAGGGATTCGCCGGGCCGCTGGCTGGAGCCCCGCCCAGACAGAGGCGTAAAGACTTTAATGTGGGCCTCCAGCCCTGATGGATCCGCTTGGGAAACTCACGCCAAACCAGGAATTCTTCAGGATTTTCCCCTCAGGAGCCGCACACATTCACTACAAAACAAAGCTTAACTGGCCATCTGAGCTCCTGATTCCCTGCTGGAGTAAAATAAAACCTCCGATAAGTGGAGAGCTGCTGCCGGCCGAACGCTGAATCAGGAGGAATCGTTTCATTTACTCTGTGAATTCACTGCATATCCAGTGCACAGTTCCAGTTCAGACACACCTTAACGGATATGCATTTTTCATAACCCTGCAGACATTTTATGTGTATAAATGCAGATACAATTTGTTTCAAAGAAAAATATAAATAGTGAAGTGAATTAATTTCCAAAACAATTAAAATAAACATACACTTTAATCCCGCATTTTGTTTTAACTCAAAAAAAAAAAGTCTGTTGTACATAAAACTCAGTATATCCCACACATTGCTCAACAATTCTAAGTTAAGGGAACGTTTTTGATGATTTTGTACACTCAAATGGCATTTTTGAGTTAAATTAACTTGATTGGCATTTACTTTAATCCGTTGCTATGGCAACTTTGAAACCCCACATTCAAAAAATGACGACATTTCTGTTGGTTTTAATCGTTTCTTTCTCATTAAAGTTGCTGAACGAATGTGTGAAACTGAGTCAAACTAAGTAAGCTGTGAAATACAATTACTTGTTGCTTTGTTAACACAATCTTAGATAAAACGTATATTTCTTTCCCATTGGCTCCTGACTCCATCTATTTGCATATTGAGGGTTTCTTTCCCTTTGTTTTACTCACCATCAGTGTGCTTTCATTCCACCATGCTGCCTTTCCTCAGGTGTGTGTTTTTAATATATGTTTTACTCAGCTGCCTGACATTGTGTTGTTGGCTAAGAGCTATATATATATTGAAGTCCTTGTAATTACTGAATAATAAGCCTTAGTATGTAATAAGCCTGAAGTTTAGAGGTCAACGTGACCAAGACGCTTTCACTGATGACAGCAAACAAGCACTCACGTTTGGAGCGTGAAAATTGAAGAACGAACCAGAAAAAGAGGGAGAAGTTCTTAACATTAATGTGCAGATGACTCACTGTTGATGGAATTCCAGACTTCTATATATATATATTGAAGTCCTTGTAATTACTGAATAATAAGCCTTAGTATGTAATAAGCATGAATTTTAGAGGTCAACATGATATGAAACTCAGCTTGAGTTCTTTGAATAGATCTGAATGTCTGTTTTTGAGGTGCTTCACTTAGTTTGAAGTGTTTCTTTCTTTCGTCTGAAAAGTTCGATTTCACTGTTTGCACACAGGTTTTTGTGAATCTGTTACTAATCTGTGATGATTCACTTCGAACGCAGAGTATTTCCTAATGTGACTCTAACTGTTTTCTTTGTTGAGGAGTTGAGGCGGAGCTGTCATTGCAGCTGAACTTGCCATGTGTTGTTGTTTTCCGTGCTGGTAGACGGTGGTTCTTCTTCTTCCTTTGGCACTTAACAGCACACTAGAACACTTGTAGGTGTATGTGCTGCCCCCTGTCAGATCGGGACAAATTGCATCCCTCGTACTTACTGTAGAAAGACAAGTACCGTCAGAATTTTGGCATCGACTTGGTACTGAAGTATCGGTTCCCATGACATCCCTACAACAAATACAAGTAGTTAGAACAGGGGTGCTCAAAATTTTGCACACGAATGTACATAAATTGCATATCCATCAGCCTCTATTTGTTACTGTAAGACGGATTAGTAGGTTGTAGAAAAAATGAAATATCTTGCTGCTTTCGGAACAAAACATCTCCAAAATGGTAACTTTACAGGAGAAGGAAAAAACATGCCTTACTTTTAACGTAAGTCAATGGAACCAGACTTTTTTCCAAGTCATTTTGGGATGTTTCTTTTAGTCCATTCATCATGAAATTTATGTACAATGTAAAGGCCGTCAGGTATTTTCAAATTTTGTCAGAAACTGAAAAAACATAAATAAAAGTTTCTGATAGTTCTGATATCAGCTAAATAAGCCTTGTCTTCATAAAAACTGACCAATAGTCATTGCTGATTTATTGAGAAAGTAAATCGCTGTGGTCAAAAGAAAATCTTGTATCTCCAAAATGGTAACTTTACAGGAGAAGGAAAAAACATACTCTACTTTTAATGTAAGTCAATGGAACCAGACTTTTTACCAAGTCATTTTGGGTCATTTCGTTTGGTCCATTCTTCATGAAATTTACACACAATGTAAAGGACAACAGGTATTTTTTTTTTTTAATTATGTCAAAAACTGAAAAAATGACAAAAATGGAGATACGAGGTTTCGTTCCGACAGCAGCGAGTTTTAAAATGAATCACATCATTCTTCCTCTTTCTTGTCTTTGATTTCTCTTATACATCTTTGCTGAACGTTAGTCTGTCCAACACAGGAGCTTTCACGAGTTGTTCTGGTGATTCAGCGTGAAACATTCCGGTCAGGAGCCGTTCCTCCACCTGCTCCGAGTTACCAAGACGCTTTCACTGATGACAGCAAACGAGCGCTCACGTTTGGAGCGTGAAAACTGAAGAACGAACCAGAAAAAGAGGCAGAAGCTCTTAACATTAATGTGCAGATGACTCACTGTTGATGGAATTCCAGACTGAATACGAGACGCTTTTCAGACTCACTTACACAATTAACAACACGTAACACAACATAAAAGCCCCGTTTTAACGATGTAACTCATTGTCCTTCTGCACTGCGGAATGTTTGTGAGTGAACGATGGTATGAAGGAGGATCTCTGAGCCGGCTGGGCCTTTTCTCTCAATGATAGTGAGGGAAGGTTGTCTGATCTTAATCCCCACTATCTGCATTCAAAACTGAGGTTTAACCCTCTGGGGTCCACAAACTCACCCACATGTTCTCTGTTTCTATATCTGTGTCTGTGTCTTTTGATGATCCAGCACAGAAATCCAGTTCAAACATTTCCTGAATCTGTAGAGTCGACCTTTCCATTCCATCTTATCTCGAGATCATACGAGACTCACATCCGGAGTTATGAGCCTATGAAGAGGGGCTGAGATACACGTCATCTGCCTCTCACCATGTGGAACTGGTGGATTTGTGTGTCTGTCTACATTCTGTGTGAAACTGAGGTGAGAATCTGAGTGGAGTCTTGAGTCTCTGAGGTGTAAGTCTGACTCGACTCTTGAGTCTCTGAGATTCAGGTCAGAGTTGAGTTTCGAGTGTCTGAGGTTCGAGTCAGAATTGGCTCTGGAGTCTCTGAGGTGAGAGTCCAAGTCGAGTCTCTGAGGTGTACTTCCGAGGTGACTCTTCAGTCTCTGAGATTCAAGTCTGAGCTGAGTCTCGAGTCTCTGAGGTGAAAGTCCGAATTGAGTCTCGAGTCTTTGAGGTGAAAGTCCAAGTCGAGACTTAAGTCTCTGAGGTGAGAGTCCGAGTCGAGTCTCGAGTCTCGAGTCTCCGAGGTGAGAGTCTGAGTCGAGTCTCGAGTCTCTGAGGTGACTGCCTGAGCTGAGTCTCTGAGGTGAGAGTCCGTGTGGAGTCTCTGAGGTGTATGTCTGGGTCGCCTCTTGAGTTTCTGAGATTCAAGTCTGAGTTAAGTCTCGGGTCTCTGACGTGAGAGTCTGAGTCGAGTCTCGCGTCTTTGAGGTTCGAGTCAGAGTTGCGCACCAGCGCAACACACACTAACACACCACCACCACGTCAGTGTTACTGCAGTGCTGAGAATGATCCACCACCCAAACAGTACCTGCTCTGTGAGGGTCCATGGGGGTCCTGACCACTGAAGAACAGGGTAACAAAGTATCAGAGAAACAGATGGACTACAGTCTGTAACTGTAGAACTACAAAGCGATACTATACGGTCAGTAGAGCTGATAAAATGGACAATGAGTGTAGAAACAAGGGGGTGGACTTAATGAAGTGGCCAGTCTTTGTATATTCCTTCAAGATTCTTGAAGTAAAACAAATGCAAACAAGTGCAAAAATGAACCAAAAACAGGCTGGACTTTAGCCTGTTAAAATCTGTATTGACCACAGAATGGTCATTCAAGTCAAGTCCGATTCGTCTGATTATTAAAGTTTTGCAGAATCTGCTATTATATGCATATAATCGGGGTTGTGGGTGGAGTTTGTCTTTAGCTTCATTTGCATGTCCTGACTGCAGTGTTGTTCTCACGTCCAGGAGGTGTTCGACCGGCTCTACCTCATCTACACCATCGGCTACTCCATCTCCCTCGGCTCTCTCATGGTGGCTGTGGTCATCTTAGGATACTTCCGGTGAGTCAGTGTTTGTTTATGGACCTTTTTCCTCTTCATATCTGGATTAACAGTAAATCATTTCGTCTTTGAATGTGACGCCAGCTGCACTTTACATTGAGTGAACGTTTCATGAGGAGTTAAACTTCATTAACTGAAATTTAAGGAAGTTACCACTTTGGTTTCTGGAATTTGAGCAAATAAACATACTGTAAATATAAAAGTAATAATAATAATTCAGTCACAGAATCGTACATTAAGCCATTAAAGTTAGTGTTTTTCCTTCTTCTGTGGATTTTCAGAGATACGAGGCTTTGTCTTACAACATCCATGACGTGGAGTTGTTTATAATATATAGTGCAGTCGGAACGTAACTTTTTTTTTAAAATAAAGAAATTTGAAATATGTTTTAAACCCATGTCTGCTCCCAGTTTGTCAGCGGGTTCAGATTTGCGCTGTTTATCTTGTTCCTGGGTTACTGAGTGTAAATGAATATGTGGGTTTCGTAAACAGATGAAGTGGTTCTTTGGCGCCTGTAGAGAAGAGAGTTTATGATTCCTGCTCGCAGTTTAAAGGAGGTGTGGACACGTTTACAGTTCTACGCTCTGCACTGTGTGCTAAATCCAAACGGTACAATTCTTATGTTTTTTATCTGAAGGCGCAGAAAACGAAAGCAGAAATGTTACAATCTGAAAGGAGATTTGAAGATCATCATGCTAAATTTAGTATTGTGAAGAAGAAACACTGTGGCAAAGTTTCCATTGACATTCTGTACAAATCACAAGCAATAAAATGAAAAGGTGTAAAGTGTCACTAATGACTGTGTAGTTACACATTAACAATATATGTAATAACATTGTAACTACTGGTGATGGATTCACTGATTATAGATGGATTACAGTAGTAATGCTTATGTAATTATACATGTGTATCAGCTTCAGTTTTTACTGTAATCACACAAGTGTATCTTGTGCCTGCCTTCATTATGAGATACTTCCACTGGATCTGCACAGAAATGCCTACTTTCCTAAAGTTTAGCTAGCTGTAGCAGTGCGCTTGTGTTCTGGCTTTAAGCTTAAGTTTGGGCAACACAGAATGATTTAAAGCGAGAAGTTTGGTTACTATGTTATACAAGTGCACTACTACAGCTAGCAAAATGTCAGTAAAGGTGGAATTCATGTGCAAGTGCAGTGTAAGTGCTCCCATAATGAAGGTAATGACACACCTGCACTGTCAGAAATAAAGGTTCTGTGCAGGTACATTTGTTCATCAAGGTACAAACAGTGGTTTTAAGGTCTGATTGTGAACCTTAAATACGTTTTTTCCAGGTGAAAAGTTCGTATTTGTACCTTTTCATAACCGAATGTTTTAAACAGAGCAGTAAAATAAAGTCCTGGAGACGAGACGGGGTGTGTGGAGTCAGTACAGCTTAGAACATATCATTTCAGTGGATTATGGTTCAGTTATGTTCCCTGACTAAAGGTACTGAGATGGACCCTTGAGGGTCCCACCCCAGTGACAGAGGGGCACTGACCCAGTGACAGTTTAGTACCTTTATTTCTAAAAGTGTTTTATAATCAAAAAGTCTTACTGCAAAAATTTTAGTTCACCCTGATAAACATTAAACATTACAGAAGGGAAAATCTGCTGTTTCAGCTGTGAAGATACACCTGAGTATTACCTGAGTAAAGACTGTAGTTGATATACACTCTCAGAAAAAAAGGTAGTAAACTGTCACTGGGGATCTGATGAATTGGGCTTAATATGAGCAGAAACACAAACTAACAATGTACACCGAACAGGCAAAACATTACCATGACCACCTCCTTGTTTCTACACTCATTGTCCACTTTATCAGCTCCACTTACTATATAGGTGCACTTTGTAGTTCTACAGTTACAGACTGTAGTCCATCTGTTTCTCTGATACTTTGTTAGCCCCCTTTTACCCTGTTCTTCAGTGGTCAGGACCCCCATGGACCCTCACAGAGCAGGTACTATTTGAGTGGTGGGTCATTCTCAGCACTGCAGTAACACTGACGTGGTGGTGGTGTGTTAGTGTGTGTTGTGCTGGTCTGAGTGGATCAGACACAGCAGTGCTGCTGGAGTTGTTAAACACCTCAGTGTCACTGCTGGACTGAGAATAGTCCACCAACCAAAAATATCCAGCCAACAGCGTCCTGTGGGCAGCGTCCTGTGACCACTGATGAAGGACTAGAGGATGACCAACACAAACTGTGCAGCAGCAGATGAGCTATCGTCTCTGACTTTACATCTACAAGGTGGACCGACAAGGTAGGAGTGTCTAATAGAGTGGACAGTGAGTGGACACTCCAGCAGCACTGCTGTGTCTGATCCACTCGGACCAGCACAACACACACTAACACACCACCACCACGTCAGTGTTACTGCAGTGCTGAGAATGACCCACCACTCAAATAGTACCTGCTCTGTGAGGGTCCATGGGGGTCCTGACCACTGAAGAACAGGGTAAAAGGGGGCTAACAAAGTATCAGAGAAACAGATGGACTACAGTCTGTAACTGTAGAACTACAAAGTGCACCTATATAGTAAGTGGAGCTGATAAAATGGACAGTGAGTGTAGAAACAAGGAGGTGGTCAGAATGTTATGCCTGATTGGTGTATAATTATAAACAAGGTCAGTTTTAATTTCAGGTTCACTTTAACGATTGGCGTGTGGAAACTGCTGGGTTCGTTTCAAACTGCGGCTGTTCCAGAGCCAGTCAGCAGGCTGTATTTGTACTCATTTGTTTGGTTGTCTTTTTCAGTGCCTGGCTCAGAAGCGAGTAGCTCAGCCTGTACTGATTTCAGGTGTTCGATGCTGTTATTGCCGCTGCAGGTGCGTCTCTGTGGACGGCTGTTTATCCGAGGACAGGAATCAGATCAGTGTTAGGATTCAGCTGGAGAGAAATGAGGATGAGTGCGAAATCTGGGATGCATCACTGTCTGATTTGCGGGGTTTAAAGGGCAATAGATTGGCAGCATGTTGTTCCACTGAATTACAGCTTCCCCGTCAGCCGTCATGAACATCTGCTGGAGATCACTCGGCACTGGTGGTTCTGATTACTGTAATACCTTGCGGTTATTAGCAGCAAATGTTTTCATTCTGAAAGTGGAAAACGACTCACATTAGAGCCAGCTGCAGAAAACGACTGCTTTCGGTTGTTAGCCGCATGCTAGTTTACAGGATGAGTTATTATTGCTGTGCTGTACTCTGTAAATATAAACAGAGTGCTGTGCAAAAGTCAGAGACAACCAATCAATGTCAAAACAGCTGATAAGTACAAATACACAATCACATATTTAACAGTGTGAGTCAGTGAGTCACTCTGTGTACCTTCATTACAGCCTTTATTCTCTTCAGGAGCCTCACTTTCAGCTCCTCAAAGAATCTGCAGACACACCTCCAAAGTTCAGTCTTAGAAGCTCGTTGATCATTTTCTGAAGTAATCAAACACATTCAGTGGTGTTGAGGTCTGGACTCTGGGGTGGTCAGTCCATCGTTCAGCTTCTCTGTTTGATGTGTCCGTCTCCTTTTCTCAGTGAGGTTCTTCTTGATCAGCTACACATCCTTTCAGACCCACAGCGCTGAGTCGTCTTCTCACAGTGGAAGGATGGACAGAAACACCTGTGGATGTTTTCAGATCTGAAGCAGCTTGATTTTCTCCTCTCTCTCAGAGATGAAAGCTTTAAGTGCTGTTTATCTGATGGGGGCAGTTTTGGGGTCGACCAGGTCTTCCAGGTGGTTGTTAGAAGCCACATTTTCCAGTTTTGGGAACTCTTGTTTTTTCACTTTGACTTTCTCCTTCATTATGCAGGTGGATTAATTTATATTTAATTTCAAAATGTAAATTAAAATTGAAATGAAATAGTATTATAAATGCAATATTTGTAATTTTGACTCAACTTATGAGTTGATGGTGAAACTAAATTGGCAGTGGAGAATATTTTATAAAAGCTTTTAGTAATTTTATAAGTGAGCAGTGGTGTTACAGTCAGTGGTATAACAATCAGTGGTGTTACAGTCAGAGATGTTACAGTCAGTGGTATAACAATCAGCCAGTGGTGTTACAGTCAGTGGTGTTACAGTCAGTGGAGTTATGGTCAGTGGTGTTACAGTCAGTGGTGTTACGATCAGTGGTGTTACGGTCAGTGGTGCTATGGTCAGTGGTGTTACAGTCAGTGGTGTTACAGTCAGTGGTGTTACAATCAGTGCTGTTACGATCAGTGGTGTTACGGTCAGTGGTGTTACAGTCAGTGGTGTTACAGTCAGTGGTGTTACAATCAATGGTGTTATGATCAGTGGTGTTATGATCAGTGGTGTTATGATCAGTGGTGTTATAGTCAGTTGTGTTACAGTCAGTGGTGTTATAGTCAGTGGTGTTACAGTCCGCTGTGTTAGTTTCATTTGCGTTAGTTTCATTTGTGTTATAGTCAGACCTATTACATTCAGGGGCTTTACAGTCAGTGATGTTACTCTCAGTGGCGCTACTATCAGTTGTGTTACAGTCAGTGGTGTAACAATGAGTGACATCACAGTCAGTGGGATTATGATCAGTGGTCTTTTAGTTAGTGCTGTTAAAGTCTGTAGTGTTATGGTCAGTGATGTTACAGTCAGTGGTGTAACAGTCAGTGACATTACAATATGTTTAATGTTGTTCAATGTAACAGACTACATTTAGCACTTAAATTACATACCATTGTTTTCCACCACAATGGTAGAACAACACAACCACGAGTATTAATTAACACTTTACCTTTTATATTGTCATGATAATCCATCATGATGACTCATGACAGCTTATGACATCTGCCATAACATGTCTGTGGTATGGTTATGTCAGAGATACGTCAACATGGCAGGACTACCAATAATTCATATTAAATTACAGCTTGTTTTTGTTATAACTGTGACCGGTAAGGGTTAAGTGGCTCCGTGTCGGATGTGTTGACTTTTCGAGATTGGTCTCTAATGAGTGGAATCATATGAATGTTATTTTT